ATTTTTGAAATATTTTAATAAGTTTATTATTTATGAAATGTGATCTTTAAAAATAGGAATTGTGTATTGTTCCCTTAATCTTTTGGGGTCCAATTTAAAGTTTGTTGAAAATATGAAAGTGATGGGATATTAAGTTCGTGTTTGTCAAAGGTTAAATTTTTTAGCTAGTCAACATATTTTTAATTAGGGGTGGACAAAAAAATCGAAAAATCGATCAAACCAAACAGAATGGGGTCGGAACCAACCCAAAAAATCGATTTGGTTTGATTAATTTTAACAATTAAAAAGTCGGGTTGAGCAACTAAACCATCAATTAACCAGTCCAATCCGCCAATACACTTTTTAAAATTTTTTTCAGTTTAAAATTCATATTTTTAAACTTAAAATAAAATAATAAAAACATAAAATATAATTCTTTCTCAAATAATTTATTTGACGTCTACAATTTTTCTACCAAAACTCCAAATTTCAAAAGAAAATAAAAGCAAGCAAGAGAATTGTTTATTATAAACTCCAAATTTAGATTGTAACATTGTTTTTTTATTTTGATGTAATTACTTATTGGTTACTATTGACTATATATGATGATTTTAGAAAAATTGACCATTTACATTATATATATATACACACACACTACGGAAGCAATAAAATTTTTTTTTACATAGGCAAACAAATTTTTTAACTCAAAATGAGCAAAAATTTTTAACTCGACAAATGTTCAAACCGACTAACCAAACCGACACAAACTGATTTGGTTTGATTTGTTTTGGTTCGTTTTCAACAATTGAATTGGGTTTGTTTGGGTTGAAATTTACCCAAACCGACGAAGTTAGTTTCGGTTTTGGGTTGAGCTCAAAATCAACCCAACCCGAACCATAATTTTAATCTACACATTTCGTATGACTCATAACTTATTACTCATTTATTATTCTAACGATATGTAAAATTCACAATTTATAAGCACTTAAAAATATGACCAAGCAAGACTTAAAAGAGATAGGTTCAATATTGTGTCATAGTGTACAAATTCTTAGTCAGGCATGACATGATTGATGTATTGTCAAATACTATAAAGATTTATTTTCTCGGCGTGACACTAGATGTATATTGTGTGAATATCAGGTGCTAGATGCATATATTGCCAACTTTTTAGTCATGATTATACTTCGTGAGGCTCCATTTGACAATGTTTTTGAAAAGTTAAAAACTGTTTTTGAAAAGTTGAAAACTGTTTTTGAGATTAAAAATTTGCTTTTAAATGTTTGGGTAACATTCTAATGTGCTCTGGGTAGGAGAGTTTTTAAAGAACATTGACCTAGGATAATTTCCTCATACAACTCTTCCACAAGAAGGAGAACAAAACCCTGTTAATGATTTATGACTCTTCCACCGAGGGATTCTATGATTTTGTTATTCTTTTATTCGCCAAAGGTGAAAAGTAACTTTTTAACTTTTTCAAGCAGGTTTGGAATTTGGAAAAAAAAAAGAAAAAACCTTAAAACATTAAATAAAATTTAATGTTACCTTCTTCTCTC